TTGCTTGCAGCTAGGTTCCTTGTCACCGTGCTGTGGTCCCTCCTGCAGAGGGGCGTAGTCGCTAGAGTTCAGTTCGTTACCTCTAGTCCCGCAATTTCAGGTCTCGCGTCCACTCCGCTCTTTCTGTCGCCTTGCTCAAGTTTAGGTAATTCTTCCTAAATAAAGAGCACTTCAGACTGCTTCGCCCCAAATTTACAAATGTTTCCTCAGCCGAAGGGCTTCCCCTTCAATTGCCGCGCCTCACACTTGCCGTAAGTTTATTATTCCTATTAAAGAGTACCAGACGTGGACACAGCCCTCTTTTCCTTTGTAAGGCATGCTGACGTTTCATAAGCTTTTAAGCTGTCTACAAAGATTATTCGTGCAGTGAATTGTTCGTCGTCTGCAGCCCTAAAGGAAGGCAGATGCTGCAAATGATCACGTTCATCGACCGGTAACTAAACTTCTAAACATTTTCAGAGCGTGCCTGCTGCTTCCTGCCAAGCTCAGCATAAATGTGTTTTGGTACTTCTGCTAACAGCCAAAAGTACATTTTGTCGCGGCTCCAAGATTTACCACAAGATGCCCTCAGCTAATGTATCCCTGCGGTCTCGATACCAGCAATGGGAACAATCCCACACCGAGACTGCCCAACGGCGCTACAACATTCACTTCAACTTGTAGGGCTTTCCATGCTTCATTTCGTCCGTCCGCAATGGCCCTTCTTTTCTTCCACCCCTCGCTAGAACTGGGCATCTCACAGCATCTCATTTTAAGACAACTACTATTCACAGGAGTCCCCACTACTGGACACACATCTTCAATGTTGTGCTTGTAACCAGTTGATTTAGTATAGAGACGCTGCTTTCGATATATTTATCGTGAGAAAACTCGAAGTTAAGCCCTCTTAACACACGGCAGAAGGCCTTCTTTTCCTTAAGCCCTGTTGCCTAGCTAGGAGTTGTGCTGCCCCTTCTTTAAGGAAAGATATGCCCTTAACTAAGTTGTCTACTGAGACAACTTACGCTGTTGGAGCTTTACGTAAGGAAGTTTGAGGCAATTAAGACAAAGTTGCAGGAAACCAGCCGCAAAAGTCAGCAGGTGACCGTCCCGAGGGACTTCCTTTAACCGTCAAAAATAAACTGTGAATGGTAGATATACAAGCGCTGTCGTTTGAGTTGATAACTCAAGGGGTTCTTTACAAGAGAAGAGCAGCCACTGCTGCTGCAGCAACGGCGAAGAATGTCGGCACTGCTGCGCTGCCGGAATTGATGGCCTTGGTGATGCGATCCCACTGTTCTTGACTGAGACGCACAAACAGTCTCAAGCAACTCACCTTGCTGTAGAAGAGTCAAAGAGAGAAGGTAAGGGTTTTCAATACACTAATAAGAGGCAACAACAATGGCAAGTTTAAGGGGTCAATTTACGTGAAGGGAGCTTCGGTCGCTGTCAAGGCTTTGGGGGTTGTGACACAGAGGAGTGCCTTCAGTTCCTTCTCCGTTGTCCCCTGCGAGTTTCCCGCCTTCACTGTTACTGG